TTTAACAAACTTTGTCTTATAATATGTCCCTTCACATTCTTTCCTTCTTGTTTCTTTATATCATAAATACCTAAGAAGTCCTTTGGCTAAGTCAGTCCCTTTTATAATTGATATTCTGGTATTCAGGGATTTTATCCATTCTGTTATCCATGATAGACAGTTTGCTTAATATAATTTAAAGCTAGGAAATAAGTCTGCCTCTTTCTTTTGAGTCTTGCAACATTTTGAATCTTACTCTTTTTTTTTTCCTGTTCCATATAAATCTATTGATTGTTCTTTGCCATTCCTGCAAGCTTGTGTCTGAGATTGGAACTGGTGACATTTAGAACAGAAAGTTCATATTGGGCAGTATTAACATCCTGCTTTATTTATTTCCATAATTTATTATAATGCACGATTCTAATCTTTGTAGTTATAACACACAAAGGCCTTTTTTCTGAGGCCTTCATTGCCATTCTACCAAGTGGTGATTCTTTTGCTGTTGCTGGTTGATCTTAACAGGCAGAAGGTATCCATATTTCAATGCCTTCACTGTCAATTCTAAGGTTAGTTGCTGGACCTATTGTCATTAGTTAATTGTAATCTTGCTTTTTCACTGTGCTTCTTGACTCCACACTCATCTTTCAATCCAGCTTTCCTCAATATACAGTATATTCAGGGTAAAGAGTGAATAAAGAGAGCGTATACAGCCTTGTCTCACTCTTTTGTCAACCTAGAGCCAGTCTGTTTCACTATGTTCTGTCCAAGGAAACATCTTAAAAAGCACATTTATTAACATCACAGACATGGATTCATTTGGGTCACTTTACTACACTGAGATATGTTGGAATTTTACTTGGGGATCTGAAATGTTATACTGTAAGTCTGCAGGTAAGATTATAGCAGCAATAGCATTTTTTTTAACCATTCTTAGAAAATATTAGGTTCTTTCAGATATTTATTATTCTTATCCATACATAAAAAAATGTTTAAAATAGACAACATTTTCATTTACGTAAAGCTTAATAAAACTTCAAACCCATTTTGATGTATACAATTTTGTTCAAATATGACCAATAACTTCCTTCATAGGCCAAAATCTGAATAAATGAATTGCAATTATTCACAAAACTATTTGTGATTCCATATTCAGAAAGGTGAGCTGCAGTCTCCAGGCTGAAAGACTGCCCACTCCTGGACACAAGATGTCATAAAATTCATTGTTTTGCTGTCACAGACTCTCATGGAAATCTCTGAGGAAACTCATTTGTTCAGAACAATTTATTTATTTAAAATATATTTTTATATTACAATTGTAACATATACCTTAATACTAAAAACATTTTTTTTAATTTTATGGTCAAATTTTGATAGCCCCACTTAAACCTTTAATGGAAAGAGGAGATAAACAGAGGAGACAAAGGAAAGCTTTCAGACTGAAATACTATGCATGCCAGTTCTGCATTTGTTGCATTAAAGCCACAATATTTGATAGGATTAAAATGAGTCAATTCACATTCCAATCCGCTAATGGAATCCTCTTCTATTAACTGAATCTATGGCAAAGAATTTGTTTACATCACTACAAAACAACCCAAACCCACACAAATTGCACTTCCCCATTTGAGATTTGTGTGCAATCTGAGGATCCTTTTGGAGTTTCAGCTCCTACTCAGAGAGCAAATGGAAGCTGGGGCCAAGAGGGCCTTTGCACAGTTACATCTCATGTGTCCGCTATACCCCTTCCTGGACAGAGAAGCCCTTCAGACAGACACTTATCCCTTAGCCACCTCATAATTGGATTACTGTAACACACTGTACATGGGGCTGTCCTTACAGACCACCAGGAAGCTACAGCTGGTCCAGAATGCAGCAGTGCAGGCAGTGATGGGGCATCAGCTTATGCGCATGCAATTCCAATACTTTGCAAGCTGCACTCGTTGCCGGTTAGCTTTTGGGTACAATTCAAGGTGCTGGTTTTCACCTTTAAAGCCTTTCATGGAATGGGCCCTGGTTGTATGAGGGACCATTTATATACAGTTGTGTCAGCCCATCCAGTTAGATCCAACAAAGTAGGTGTGCTCCAGGTCCCATCAATTAAAAAATGTCATCTTGCGGGATCCAGGAAGTATACCTACTCTGTCCCAATTCCTGCCCTCTGGAATGATCTCCCCCCAAGACATTTGTGTGACTCCCACTGTTATGTCGTTCAGGAAGCTACTGAAGACCTGATTGTTCTCCCAGGCCTTGTGGACAACGTGATTTTGGAGCCTTCTTCTTGTTTGTTTTATTTTGATTTGATTTGTTGTGGTCTCTTTTTCTTTTTCTTTTTGTATTTTGCCCCTTGGCTATATTCCTTTGAATATGTTGTTTTTTAGTTGTAAGCTGCCCAGAGTTGTTTAGGAGTCCGGCAGCCAAACAAACAAAATACAAGTACCTGTAAAATGAACTCTTCCAAGGGTTCCAAAATAAAAGATTGTAAGAACCATTATAAATCAGGCTGAAAATCTCTAGTTCTCTGCAATCTAAACCTGAAGGTCCTTTGGATCTTTCTGGCCCAAACACAAAAATGCAGAACAAACATTATGTTCATCCTGAAAGCAAGGTGTAGCTGTGTAATCATATCACATAGCAAAGAAAATCATGGACAAAAAGAGTCCCATATCTAATCCAAGCTGCTCAGGACAGAACCAAAAAGATTCAGAATTCAGTGCCCATGATGATTCTAGGAAATGCTTGCAGATAATTGAAGTGTGGGGGAAAGCAGCTTAAATGACTACAGTGTAACATAGAATTGACTGGACACAGTGTAGACATCTTTTTCAAGACTAAGCCATGGTGATTAGGGGGGAAAATAAGCATTAGCTAATTTAATCTGGCAAGAAACAACAAAGGAACTTTTTAGAGTGGTCACCACGTTAACTTTTTGAAGCATTTGAGGGATCTGGGAACGGAAACAACTACTTTGTAGTGGTTTTGTTCCTATCTTTCTATGTGTTATCAGAAAGATCATTCAGAGATTTCTCTTTGCCTCCCTAGGAATGGTTCAGTTGGGGGGGCACAATGTCCCATCTTAACAGTCATGTTATTTATCATCTACAAGGCATCCAAAAGGATCTTCCTAAGTTTAGAGCAAATTAACACCAGCACACTGATGATTCTCAAGTGTATTTCTCCTTTCTTGTAAGATTTGCATAAAAAACCATATGTGCCAATTCCTGGAGGAGAAACAGTGACACAGGTGCTGATAATTTCAAGGCTGCATTATGGTGATATACGCTTTGCGATACAACCACTGAAGACAGCCTGGAAACTGCAACCAGGCCAAAATGGGTGATGAGGTTCCCCATCACTATTCTGCTGAAATAGCTGTGTTGGTTATTGATTGCTTTGGGGCTCAGTTCAAGATACTCACAACAGTGAATAAAGGTTTACGCAGCTTGGGTCCAAATTACTTGCAGGTCTGCCTCCTCCATCCCACATTCTCAGATCTTCACCAGGACACCTTTTGCAGTCCTGACATAGATATGCTTAATATCAACAGCCATTCTGCTTTTTCTGGTGTGGGACATACTGTGAAACAATTTATAATAATTGAAGCTGACCTTCTCACCTTTTAGAATGTTTTACACTGATTGTTTGCTATTCTAGATTTTACTGTATGTGGATGTTTGTAAGCCGCCTAAAGCTAAAAAAAAAAAAAGAGTAGGCAGCATATACCGCCCAAAGTCACCCCACAGTGAGATGGGTAGTGACAAATTGCAGCATATACCGCCCAAAGTCACCCCACAGTGAGATGGGTAGTGACAAATTACTGATTGTTTGCTATTCTAGATTTTACTGTATGTGGATGTTTGTAAGCCGCCTAAAGCTAAAAAAAAAAAAAGAGTAGGCAGCATATACCGCCCAAAGTCACCCCACAGTGAGATGGGTAGTGACAAATTTGAAATATAAATAAATAAAATAAATATACACTTTAAATAATTTGCATACTGTACACATTAGAATTAATTCCATACAAAATCTGAGCTACTTCCTTAAAATAGTGCTTATAGAATTTCAGCACTGAAATGTCAGTAAAAGAAGAGGAAATTAGTTTGATGTTTGTCAGAAAATAAGCAACATCATCCCTCAGTTCAGCGGTGGGAAAAAAGACATAAGCTTCTGGATTTTTTTTATTTGTTCCCCCCCCCCCAAAAAAAAGAACTATAGAAGTTTGGGGTTTATGCTATTTTCAGATAATAACAAAAAGACAGCTTGACACATCCATCCTTCCAAGTTATCAAGATATAAATTGGGCCCTAGAGCTACCAAGTTGGCTTTCTCATCTTTTTGAAATCTGATCTGGACCAAAGACCACCTACAGGCTTTAAAGAGTACTAGTGATTCTCTAGAGACTCACTAACAAAGCTGCATATTAAAACAGGCAAGCAACCATCCTTATTTTTTATATGTACTGGGGGGGGTGTTAGTTATTATTATGTTGACATTGTTAGCCACCAAGGGCCTCTAGGAATGGGTGGCATGCAAGAAAAGTAAATAAATGATAAATAGGACAGAATAAAAGAAAATGACCAAGTTCACATAATGCGCCAAACCATAATACTTGATAGTAGCTTAACATGTGTGAAACAAGCTGCGTAGTTAGTAAACTATGGTTTCTGCCTTACCTTAATTGTGGCTTATTCAATAAAGTATAGATTGTCAGGATGGGTGAACACAGTGAATGTCCAGATTGTTCCCAATCCATATAATCGCTGTTGCATTAATAAGGGAAAGAGCCAAGAAGTGAGGAAATAAAAGTGACCCCCCCCCATGAATATCTGCAGAGAAATAAGTTCTGTTGCATCGAATCATACCCGCTCCCAGTGTATACAGGAAGGAAACAAAAATGGAATATTCCCATGGACAAGAGGAGAGCCGGTCCTGTGCACACTCTCTTGGGGGTAAAGCTCAGCTGGATATGGAGAAGCTGATGGCCCAATCAAGGTATATAGGATGGACATCGACATGTCCCTTACCTTCGATGGCGATGACGTGCTCCCTGATCTGGTTTTGCAGCACCGGCTCTTCCACCCGCTCCAGCAGCTCGTAAATGGAGTAGATGTTGGGGTGCACCGACTCGAACCGTTGGATCTCCGCCCGGATGGCCGCAGAATTCGCCAGCTGCTGCTGCTGTTGCTGGAAGTTCATGGCGGGGAACCGCCAAAAACCTCCCCCCCCCCACCAGATCGACTGACCGCCCCCGAAGCAGGCAGGGAGCCAGCCGCCCGCGTGTCAGCCAGCTAGCCAGCAAACTAGCCAGCCCCGCCGGCTCCCAGCACTACTAGTTCATGTTCACACCAATAAAGAAGACCAAGCACAGCAGGCAAGAGCTGGGCGCAAAGGCCCACCTCCATGGAGAAGAATCGGACAGACCCGCCGACGTTCCCGCCTCTCACGACCCCAACGCAGCCCAGGCTCGGAAGCCGCTGCTGGGGAGCGCTTGGCGCAACCGCAAAAGCCCAGCGACCAGCCAGTCCTCCCTGAGCCTCCCCCGCCGCAGCTGAGCCAGCCAACCACGAAAGAAGGATCGGCCGCTTCCCTTCCCTCCACGCCGGACCCGCCTTCTTTGCGTAATGACGCTACTTTCCCACATACAAACAGACAGACCCCAGCGGAGATAAAGGATCAGTTAAAGGAAAAGTCCTCGTAGCTTTCTGGGAATTGTAGTTTCCAGTGGCTTTGCTAACTTCCGGCAATTTCCTCTTGTCCTTCTAGAGGCTCCTACGTCATGATCCTCAGTATTTGCCAGGGGCGGTCGCTGCCCGTGCAATAGACTGTAGGAATAATCGCGTTCTTCTGCACAGGCGGCGACGAATGGGAGGGGAGGCTTTTGTGTGAGTTTATATGTCACCTTAGGAAACACACAGGCTGTGCTCAAGGACGGTATTTCTATATGCCGCTGGCCGGAATGAGAATCGGGAAATGGCCCCAGAAACTTTGCTTGGGACAGGGTTATGATAGATGTTTTTTGGCAAATGCGGCACTTTATTTTTTTTTACTAATAAGTAAGAAATCTGTGACAAGAAACTGGCAAGACAGAAGCGAGGGAAGAAAATAAATTTTATGATAGTTCACTGTTTCTATAATATTAAAATATCGACTTGTCCGTAGCATCTAATATTTGATCTTGCTTTTTAGATTAAGCATGTGTATCTAACTCTTCTCGGTTTTTGTCTTTGGACTGAATCCAGATATAAATCATTCTCTGAATAACTCATTAAATTCCACAAACTTAACTTAGTTTTTTTTCAGTTGATATCAGATTAAATATAATTTTAATTACATCCTTCTGAAGTTGTTAAATCTTTAAGAATTTGAATCCACCCATGCAATATTTGTACCCTTTCAGAAAATATATTTTGACAAAATGACCCCTGAGATATTTATTTGCTATTGCACGAAGTGCTACCTTGCAATAATCTTTAAATAGTGCTAAAATGTGTTAATACGTCTAAGAATATGCTTGCAGTTCCTCCTCTATGTCTTTGTAAGAAACTTTGCTCTATTTTCATAATACGTGTCTTATTTTTAATTCCAGATTTGCTTTATTGCATTGTATATTTTGGATACTTATATCTATCCTCATTTTCCATTTAGTTCATCAAATTTTTATATAGATAATAATTTATATTCTTTGTAATGGCTCTTGTTTGTTTACCTGATGTATTATGTAGCTCCATAAAAATATTTAGCATATATACCTGTATATATTGCAACATAAAGCTTATTCCTTTAGCAGTTATTTATTCATGTATTCTTCATTTTAACAGTGTTGTCTTTTAACACAAATGAATTCATGTAGTAAACTACTTGCTTTTCCATCTCATTTGTTTCTAACATCTCTAATTTCCTCCATGCCTTCCTTTTTTATCTTGCTAATTTACTTATTCTATCTTTAGTAATACTTTTTAAATCTACATCTTTATACTCGTAGAAAATACTACATACGAAATACAAATAACAAAAAAAGTTTTAAAACTGGCTCATAACATTGATTACATAGTTTTCATAATAATCCTCCAAAAAAGTTTCTTTCTTCCTCTTTACTGCTTAGTTTGGTCTGTGGTATATTTCCTTGGGAGTAAATCCCACTATAAACTTATTTTGAGTAGGCGTGCACTGTTAATTTACATAACTTCTCAAATGGGGTCCTAGGACCAACACTGAAACATTTGTCTTTCAAGGTAGGTAATTAATCCTGTTTTGTAATATGCTTAGAATTCAGGAAACCACCCAAAAACATGTGCAACTGGATGATGTACAACTGCTTGAGAACATAATAATTACTCAATAGAAAGAAGGATGGAAGGCATAATTGAATGTTTTTTCTTTTTATAATTTTTCTCTATTTCCTATTTTCTATCTTTGATTTTGTTCTGTGTATGTTTATCACACTGAAAAATTCTAATAAAATATATTTAAAGAGGGAGTACAATAATGAGAATTAATATAATAGTTCACCTCTAACATGCATTAAGAAGAAAGATTGCAAGGAGACATATCAACATTTTGAAAGAAAAAAAAGGGGAGGATTGTTTTGATCTACAACCTTTGGCCACTCAATCTGCTTTTATTTTTCCATTTTCAACTTGAAAATCAACTTGAATTTTTTAATATGTGAAAAGGAGAAATTCTTAAATGTATGGGGGAGAAACTGTATAAAAAGTTTAAAGAGTTAAACTCTTTAAACTCTTTTTATATTAAAAAGTGACTGTATTAAAAAGTTGGCAAGAGCCATTTGTCAGAGTCCAATTACTTGCTCTGTGCAATTATGCAAATTAAAATCTCTGATACATTCAACAACAAATTAAACTTTTTTTATAAAAAAGTATTTATTAAAGACAAATAGAAAAAAACTATAGCAAAACAACAAAATTACATACATGATATCATTCAAACATGTATATAAGTATATAAAGTCTTTACCCAACAGTTTCAATAAAGGATTACTATATGTACTGTAGTCATCCATTATATCTGTAAGCAATTAAATCTCAACCACATGGAGTAATATTGATTAGACCTTCTACTTAGTAAAAAGCCAGATCATATGCAGAGAGTGAACACATGTCTTAAATCCAGAATTTTAACAAATTGTAGCAGCATCTTTCCATTAAAGTAAAACAATACATTTAGCTACATACCACATATGATGAATTCAGAAGTTATCATATTTAATATTATGTATTTCAGATTTTCAGTAGAACCATACAGCCAGCCTAAAACATGAGTTGCTATCCTCTCCATAATACACTTCTGGGTAATGCTGAAATTCTTAATACTAAAGCTTGAGTTTAAATATGGTATGTATTTTAGAAGGACCCACAGCTGGCTTGAAAAACATTATTTAAAGAATGTTCATAAACAGTTCCTCATCAAATTGAGTAAAGTGTGGCTGTACAGAGTTCCATCCTGGGCCTGATACATTTCAGTATTTTAATGACTCGGAAAGAGTGGTGTAAAGAATGCTTATTAAATTTGATGATACAAAAGTGGATCAGATAATATTCTAGCAGAAAGAAGCAAAATTCAAAATGACCTTGATAGTTAGAAAAGTGAGCCCAAAATAACAGAATGAAAGAAGGAGATAATTGGGTTGGTAATGGTACATGAGAAAGGAATTTGGATTATTTAATTAATTAATTAATTTCTATAGCTGCCCATCTCAATCCAAGTGACTCTGGGCAGCAAACAAGTTTCTGTATTGGGTTGGTGTTAACTGGGATGTAGGTTTCTTTGTCCTCTAATAAATTTTTGGCTTTTTGCAGCTATTGTAACCTGACCACTCAACCTACTACAACACAACCAACACAAGCTATGAAAAGGGTAACACTGCCATACATCAGAAACGTCTCAGAAACTACCAACAGACCATTACAACCACATGGCATCTCCATAGCACACAAACCAAAGCCCTCCAAAACATCTTAAGCAAACCAAAAGACCCAGTAGCCCAAGAAGAAAAAACAGGAGTCATCTACAACAGTGTAAGGACTGTAACAACCACTATGTAGGG